ATAAGATGAGCCTGTCTATAGGCCATATTCATTTTTACCGACGTCATAACCGACGCATTTCCAAAACCATTTTTTTGCAGCCTAACATGGCAACCCAACACCTATATGTCTGATGAACTGCAACCTTTCGTTGCCGACGGACCAATCCGGGCGCAATAACCGCAATAATCGACTTACGATTGCTGTTTTCTTGCTGGGCCAGCGCCTGCTGGGAGGCCACCAGGACGGCGAAGATGAGGGCCGCTAAGGCCGCAGACGCGGCAAGATGCCGTCGAACCATTTGGACGTTTCGAGGGCTGGTTCTTGCGATTATTATATACCGGCGGTAAGGTACTACAGGAGAAAGGTGCCTTACCAGATACGGAGATCGATTCACGCACGTCCTGGTGTGTGTATATGTAGTAACAGAACTTGTGCTCGTATATGTATAAATGGCAGGTTTTGTTCAAACACACATTTTCCAATTACACTAATCATGTGGCGTAAATTTATCCTTTTCACATGGGCTGACTGTAACGATTCTCCTGTTTCGTGTACAACAGTCTGTGTGCCCGTTCGGCAAGAGCGACGATCCGTTCGTTCTGAAGTGTCGCTCTGCGGCGTGAGTGATTGGCTGTCGAATCTGCCATAGGATAACTAATAATACTATATCGCTTTGATGAGTAATTGTTAGGTGTCCGCGGTCATCACGACATTCATAAAACATTCATGGTGCTCACCATTCCTCCTTCGAGAGCACGTATAGCGGTCTGCCGCGTCTATCTTATGCATCATCAAAACAATAGATAGCTCATAAATTAGGAGCCGCAATCCTACGATGTGGCTTCGTTGATGTATCAATTGACGTCTTCACGGCTGTGTCCCCTGGGTAGGGTAGAGGCTTTGAGGTAGGTTGGGAGGAGCAGACGCTCGTCCAAGGCCGGCGGTTAGCATCCAAATTTACGAACATCATGCCGGAGCAGAATGTGCATCAGTTTGCATGTGCGTGGGTGCTCTATCTGCTGGAATAGACACCTCACTCCTGCAGTGTTTTATTTCTGTAGTCATTTCAGCAGGTACCGTATTATGACATCCTCGCTCAATGAGCGAAATCAAGCGAAATGGAGGAGTTTTCCATTCCTAAGCTCGACGTAGTGGCATCTATTTGCGAAAAAAAAACGCTTTCCGCTATGACTAAGCATGTAAGATGCTAAAGGACGGCGGCTTACGCTATCCGTCCTGATCGGTGGAACCAGGCATGCTATGTCTTTTCGTTCCCCCAATTGTGCCCCTTCCAAGCTCGGGGTCCACTTAATTTCCCAATGCGTCCCTACAATCTTGCTTAGCCTTTGACACATTATATGTTTTTTTGTAACAACAGCTGTTTTGGCATCTGATTGGCGAGAGCAAAAAGCTGTCACCTAGCAGTGGGAGCGAAAGCGCGCGCGCGTACACGATATTGAACCCGCCGATTCTCTATAGAATTATATTAGTGTCGCTAATTCCACAAATGTTGTATTTTCTGGAAATGACTTGGGATTTTTGACTCGCTGACCAATTACCTCTGTCTGCCCCTTCCAGCAGCAGGATGCTTCCAGCTTCGAATTCGCGATACAGGTACCTTCCGCATTCCACAGTTGCGCAACTCAACTTGCAGTTTTCATGAAATGTATTATGCAAATAGATGTGTTCAATGATGTGCCATAAGCCATAACAGGTCATATACCTCATGTACCTCATATACCTCTGTGTGTCTCGGTCTGTGACCCAAGCGATACATGGCAAAACATGAACACCTAAAGCCACAAACAAAAGCACCGCACTAGCAGGAGATAACAGAGTGTACATATATAGCTGTTACAGCATTTGTCATACATACATACATACCTCCGTTCAGTGGACCACATGTACAAAATTGAGGTTCAAACGAATAACGGTGAAGGTGGCGAGTATACCTCTTTTTTCCGAAACATGGCTGTAACGCGGTCGACTCGTGCGGTAGTGATACAAGCGTCCTTGGCCAACTAATACATACAGAGCTGCTACCAAGGCGCTGGCGTGACCTTCCGACGTTGCGTCCGGAGTACCGGGCGACCTGACCGTCAGCGCTTCTGGCGGGCCTGGCCCTGCGTCCATGGGCGATCGCCTGCGGTTGTCTGCTTGTCTGCCGCCTGCTTCTTACCTCCTGTCGGCGGTTGGGTATCGCTCGATGTTGCATTACGGCCTGCTTTCGTACAGGCTTGCTGCAGCCGCGACCCCGCCTGGCCAGATGCATACCCGCCCAATCATGCCGAAACTTTTGTAATCCACGCTTTCAATACGTAAAAGCTTGAAACAGAGCACTCCTTACGGACCTGCCGTACGTACGGCATGGTGAGCGTGTGGCGGGCTCCAAGGGTCCCTTTGGCGGAGGGTAATAATATTAAATACCCCGTCACCTCATCAGCTATCCTCTGTAAAGCCTTGCTGCTGAAAAGCTTGCAGTGCGGAGAGCACGTGAGCATACACACTTTGCGTAGCTTTGGGGCCTTGGGACAATCACCACGCTGCGGCTCTACTCTTCGTGAGTCTGGAGCCCACTGTAACACACATACACACACATACACACACATACACACACATACACACACATACACACATACACACACATACACACACATACACACACATACACACACATACACACACACGCACATACACACACATACACACACACATACACACATACACACGCACACACACATACACACACATACACACACATACACACACATACACACACATACACACACACACACCAGTTGTAAAGCACGTTCAGCGAGGAGGAATTCTAAAAAGCTCATTCACCGTTACAGAAGCAATTACAATTGCTACAACACGAACGCGTGCGATGCACGTCGATGTGCGTGGAATCGCCCCCCATCTCTCGCTCTCGGTTCTGGAATCGTACTCCAGATCTGCTGGTTATTAGGATTGTACGCGCGCCTGGCCCAAGAAACATACAAATGCATTCACAGCAGAAATTTTTTGTGTAATAAACGAAAGCTGTTGGCGACATAACTGCAAGAAGTACTTGAGGTGTGCAAACGCAAGTACAGCTTATTCATAGCGTCCACGAATAGCTGGCGCATGAAATGCAACGTATGTTAAAAAGGAATTCACTCCGCCAACAAAATCTGAGAACGGAAACAATTAAAGTATCTATGGACCATACACGCGCTGACGACCCCTACCAGGTTTAAAGGTGTATATACCAGCACACCAACCAACTTTAGAGTTCTTAGGGGGTGTTTCCACTTGGATTAAAAGTCGCGGATTAAGGCTTAATCCGTCGCATATGGAAACATCGCGCGGATTAGGACGGATTAGGCGGATTAAGGTTGGCGCGATTAGTTAGAGATTTCCGTCCGTATTCACGCGCTTCGCGGATTAATTATAGATTAATATGCTATGAAATGCGAGCTTTCTGCTTATACTAAAAGCTCAAACTTGGTGCGAAAAATTTGCTACCTGGTGGCCACCAGGTATCAAATTGACAATCTCGGATTAACACTTTTCACGACGGCTCATAAAAAGCCTGAGTGATAGGTTGGAAGGTTATCCTTTATAAAGGCTGTAGGTGTTCCTAGTTTTGTGGAAGCTTTGTGCTTCTTGTTCGGCATTATGCACCACACCGTGGGTGTCGTTCAAAGGTGCTACAAGGCCTTCATGTTGATACTCGATAGTCTTTTAAATGTCTGGCAATACTCGTTTTTGCATTTTATGCACGGAATGAGCAAGTGTCGTACTTCAATCCGTTTCTTAATCCAGATGTATGAAACACTCCGACGGATTAGCGGTGGATTGGCGCGGCTTAAAAATACCTTAATCCGCGACTTTTAATCCAAGTGGAAACACCCCCTTAGGGCGCCCGTTGCTTCTCATGCAAGCGCGCACCTTATACAAGTTGCCATGAAGATATACACAAGCATATGCCCGGTAAGATATGTAACACACACACATACACACACACATAAACACACACCTAATGGCAAATCTCCCCGTGATCGCGGGTCTCTGAGCCATCCCTTTGGATTCGCTTTCTTCTGTCTAAGTGACACTTGCGTTGTCTGGCCTGGGTGGGTGCCTTGGTTGCCCTGTTTGTCTCCCAGGTGCAGTGCACGGCCACCTACTGCCCGCTACTCTTCACGGGCACCTGGAGAGCCCCCACTGTAAAACAATCACACACAACAAAAGAGCATAGGTGCAGTCGGTGCTCCGTCGTATCCACCATCCTGTGGCTGCTGCCGCGAGAGGATTGCGCTTAGAAATGTCCATTGCCGTCGCCGTTCAACGAGCTGCGTGCTAACGCTGATGGCTCTAATAAGTACCTGCTGTCCTAAAGTAAAAAACTGGCGTAAACACCTCCGGTGTAACGCCAGCACCAGGGAGGCAAGACAAGCAGACAAAGACTACAGGGCAAGGTATGCCAAGGGGGATCGGATCCCCATCCTTACATCCTTACATCCGGCCAGGACATCAGACGACGATTTCGCTGATGTTTCGAAGCACTGCGAAGGGAGTCACCGGGAGCACCGCAGTGAGATAATCAAGTTACAAGTTACAAGTTCCGCACACAAGTGCGGGTGTGTCCGTAAAAGCCGGGGGGCCCATGGACGTTTTAATATGATAATCCAGATAAAGAATCCCGGCGGAAGCATGGCAGGTGGAAAGAGGTAGTACGCTGGAAGCTAAGGAAGTGTTTTTAAGCTAAAGAGTAAACGTCAAGAGCCAGGGTAGAAGGAAGGAATATGCGTTGAGGTCGGGAGCCTTTGCTCTAAGGGAGCTTGTAAAGGGGAGGTGAAGGGGAGGGAAAGGGAGCCGAGGGAGTGAAAAGGAAAAAGAAGCGAATAGGGAATGGAGGGCACACGGCAAGCTTTCCTGCTCTCCTCCGACCACAGCTCTCACCGGCAACACCCAGCCGTTACACCCAGCGAAGAATGCACATAAATGTCCCATTCCTTGCTTTGTATGCTCACACGTCACTCACGCTCACCATTTCGCAGGAAGGACAAGTCGTAGGCGTAGTTCCCAGGTGCACGGTAACGGCACACCACCACTTTGCAAGACCCCTTGTACGTAGTGCTGCCAAGCTGCATGGTCAGACCGGCCATGCCCATGCCGCAGCCCAGGAAGGACGTGCCTTTCCATACGACCTGCGTGAAGTGTCCTGTGCCGCGGGCCCAATTGTCGGCAAACAGCCGAGCTGCATCCCAATCGTAGTCCTTGACTTCCGAGTACCAGCCTTTCACCGCAGGGAGGCAGGTTGCATCAACCCGTGGAAAGCCCCTCTGCGCCATTAGATTTTCGCCATAGCCTCCCCAAGCTGAGTGGCGCAGCGCGCAGCCGGCATCAGCAAGGCTCTGCGCGTATGTGGTTGAGGCCGCGGCCAGGCCTTCATCCCAACGCAACGGCGGCGCCTGGTGGCAAAGACGATATATGTTGTGCTGGTCCAAAATCTTTTGAGCATCTGGGCAGTTTCCGCCTACTCCAGGTTGGATTGGGTGGGGCGAGCGGGAGGGAAGAGTCCCCCGATGGGGGGTTTTCCCGGGTCAGGAGTGACACACGATACATACACACGTCTCACAGGGTTCGCACTGCCACAGCTTATCTGCGTGTGTGTGTATGTGTGTGTATGTATGTGTGTGTGTGTGTTTTACATGGTCGTGGGGTGCGTTCCCCGTACCTGAAAACCGCCCACAGGTTATAAAATGTGTGGACAAGGGTTTGCCTGCTGCTTGTTTAGGCAACAGGGTTGGATGAGGACCGTGCAGGTGGGGACCCCTGTCGGCTGAGGGAAGCAATGTGCAACCGTGTGACCGTGTGTAACCGTTACGAAAATTGTCGTGTTACTACAAGCTGCCATGTGTTTTATCAAGTGCCTAACCCACCTCCGACTGTATCACTGGAGGTGTAGTCTGGCTCGGTATCAGCGGAGCCACCAACACCGACAGCCGACACGTCAACAAATGCTCTTAATGGAGGCGGGGGTCGCGGCGCCAACGACAGGTTGCGGGAGTTAGGAGACGGTGGCCGCAGCAATGTTGGTGGGAACGTCAGCGGCGGCGGTGGTGGTGAAGGTAATCGCGGAAGTCGCGGTGATGGGCTACGTGGCGGTGGGGGTGGGGGTGGCGGCCGTGACGTTGGAGGCCGTGGTGGGCGTGGCGATGGGGGCCGTGGCGGCGGTGGTCGCGACGGCGATGGTGGTGGGCGTGGCGGCCGTGGTGATGGGGGCCGTGGTGGCGGTGGTGGGGCCGGCGATGGTGGTGGGCGTGGTGGCCGTGGCGATGGGGGCCATGGCGACGGTGGCCGTGGCGATGGAGGTAGGCGTGGCGGCCGTGGCGATGGGGGCCGTGGCGGCGGTGGTGGGGCCGGCGATGGTGGTGGGCGTGGTGGCCGTGGCGATGGGGGCCGTGGCGGCGGTGGTGGGGCCGGCGATGGTGGTGGGCGTGGTGGCCGTGGCGATGGGGGCCGTGGTGGCGGTGGCGGGGCCGGCGATGGTGGTGGGCGTGGTGGCCGTGGCGATGGGGGCCATGGCGACGGTGGCCGTGGCGATGGTGGTGGGTGTGGCGGCCGCGGTGAGGGACTTGGCGGGCTTCTTGGCACCATGACTTCTTGCGAACCATGAGGCCGAGGTGACGGGTTTAATGTCCTTTTTGGAGGGGGTTTCCTAGAGGGCCAGGGTGAATGGGCCTGGGGCGGCCACGACGAGGGCTGGGGACCCCGCGGCAGTGGAGGAGGCGGGTGCACGGGTGCCGCTGGTGGAGGGGAGGACGGCTGGGCGGGTCGTCCCGGAGAAGGAAAGGAACTGTGGGCGGGCTGAGGAGATGGAAATAGGGTGTGGGGTGGGTAGGCGGGGGGATGCGGACTCCATGCGATTGTTGGCACTATGGCGGGCGAGAGGTCAGAGTCGCTAGCAGATGGCTGATCGGCGTTCTCCAAGGCCGAAACCTGGCGGTCGCCACCACTTCCTGCTACGTCTGTATCCATGTTACCAGATAAACGTGGCCGTGGCGTATCAGAGGTCAGCGGCACAACGCGTCAGCGGCACGAAGCTTCAGCGGCAGGTCAGCAGACCCGAGGGGATCATGGTTTTAACAGAGGTCCCTACATAGATGGATGGAAATATATTATTTCACTTACAAGTACTCATGAGTCCATTTGCCACTGCCGGGTGTGATACCAGCAAAGACATCATGACGAAGAATGCTTGAAGGGCAGGCATGGCTGAATGTTCCATTTATGAACATTAGGTAGAATTTATGAGTGCTACGATTTCATTTTGTCATTCATTGGTTGTTCAAGTCGCAAAAGGCTATAGGAAACGGAACACTAAACAGCTTCGTGATACGCTGTCTTGGCATCATGCTCAGTAAGCAATAATCACCTAAGTCTCAAAGCACAAAACTGATTGTAAATATTTAGGATATTGCGTTGCAGTAGTCAAATTGTTCAGCAGTCAACTCGTAAGGAAAGTGTGATGTATCACCAAGTAGCCCATCTTCTCTACCAGTTACTTTCTTTCTGATAAATCGTGTAGAGTGAATCACATTAGATGCGCAAAAAAAAAACAAAGCATGACCACCAGTGTCGGTCACAAGTGTCACACGTCCGGTATCTATCCAATTTTTGAAAGATCCATCATCACTTTGACTTATAACTGGTAAAATCTATAGATCTGCCTTTGTTTCCGCGGAACCGTTTGTCGAAGCGTTATCAACATATTTCGACCGATTGAAAGGTAGAGAGTTACTGGTTATATGACAAGCAGGTCCTCCTAACGTTGATTGACGCAGTAACGCGGCTTGACGCGGAAGGGAGCTGAAATGGTGGGCTCGATCGGTATCCGATCTCGCTGCCCATGCCGACAGACCAAGTAAGAAAATTATGTGAGCTTCCTTCATCACCTCGAGTTCCCCATTTGTAATATGGGTAGCCCCTAAGGCACCATAGGCACTGTCCAGAACTGATAATGTCGTACGCTCCGTACAGGGCCTGAAAAAGCCACAGCTGGTCGTCACTGATTAGTTGGGAGAGCAACAGGCTTCCATCATGTTGCCTGATATCTTAATGTTGATGCATAATGCCTCCTACTTGGCCTTCGATTGAGGCACCCCTGTGGGGCTCGATAGTATCGGCTAGGGATGCAAGGACGCTTAGATCGAAGCAAGCATCGCTGTCACCTGGTGCGCTGCGCATGAATAGTTCCTCCGGCACGATCTAACATTGCCACCGGAATGTGGGCCTGCGCCGCGGCTTTCCAGGCTGGTGGAGAACGTACCTTGATCTATGCGGGCAGTTAGCTCTGCTCGCTGTAATGCCAGTGTTCCCGCACACGACGGGCACACTCTAGAGGCTTCTAGCCAACCTTTGGCGACGCATCACCGCTGCTTTGCGAAAAGGAGACCTTTCCCGCCCTTTTCCACTGCGTAGGTTCCCTCCACCACACCTGGGAAACCGAGCACTGACGTGCCACACCTGAGTCGATTGATTCCTGCCCTCCCCTGGTTCTTGCTTTGGGTGCACCATCATATCTAGGGCTGCTATATACATGTACTGCAGTAACTCAATGTACATCTGATGCCGCCCATAGCTGTCATAGCTGTCATGTCGAAAGTTGGAAAATTACGGAACGGCCCCGGATCAAGCCCCCTGGGCGACCTGAAGGCTCGGTTTCCATTGCGACGGGCTACTGGGCCCGGCTCACCCCTAGAACACGGGCCGAGGGCGTCGGCATTGCTGCTATGCTGACGTGTGGATCTCTTCCCTGGCCCTTGGAAGGGGTGTACAGGTGCTTGCGTGCGTTCCTCAATGGGGCGCATTGATCTCGTGTCGTGCACCCCGTGCCGGGGGGGCTGCGTGCTGCATAACAAGTTCTAGAAGCTGCCCCCTCATGTTGGTGGAGGTGCGTGGCATACATTGAGCGGGCCGCAGCAGTGGACGTGCAGAGCTGCGGATACAGCACCTCCCCCGTTACCTCTTACCAGTGAACCCGTTAACTCCATACGCACACACACATACACACACACATACACACACACACACACATACACATACACATACACATACACATACACATACACATACACATACACATACACATACACATACACATACACATACACATACACATACACATACACATACACATACACATACACATACACATACACATACACATACACATACACATACACATACACATACACATACACATACACATACACATACACATACACATACACATACACATACACATACACATACACATACACATACACATACACATACACATACACATACACATACACATACACATACACATACACATACACATACACATACACATACACATACACATACACATACACATACACATACACATACACATACACATACACATACACATACACATACACATACACATACACATACACATACACATACACATACACATACACATACACATACATATACACATACACATACACATACATATACACATACTCGCTGAGGGGCGTGCCCTTATCTTGCCTTCGCAGCAGGCATACGCTACGTGTGCTGTGCATCACACAGGCCAAATATTCTTACGACGCTCTTCTGCTGCCCCCTAGTTTTTAGAGCCGCATTACGTGCTTTCACACACTTGCAGCTGCGCGAACCACCAGCCTGCGTTACAAACCGAGCGCAGCTTAGAGCTGTTGTCCACACGCATTGCGCAAGCCGTGCCATAAATCTCTGTGCCGTGATCTGCATGGAGATACGCTCACGTTGACCTTCAGGTTCCCTTAATCGGCTCCTCCTGCTGCCTGCCTGCCACCGTTTGTAGCACCCATCCTCACTCCGCCAAATCAAAAAAATCAAAAGCCAAGCTAAAAAAGAAAGGTAAATTGCCCACAACCGAGCACCGCCATCACAGCGCCCGCTGCTGCTACCAGGCTGTCTCTGGAGACCAGAAGGGTCACAGCGATGTCGGCCTTTGCTGCCTCGCTCATGCCTCCTCACTCACTTCCTTTCCGTACTGTTCTCATGCTTCCCTTCTGTACACATCGCACCTTTCATCCCTGAACATGTCCTCACAGCCCTTCTGTGCAAACTGTGAGTCGGTGCTCAGTCGAGCCGTGTCCATGCTCACACACGCTCACGCCACTGGAAACAAGGCTGTCTAGGGATGCTATACGCACACCCTTATACTCAGAACGCGCACAGACGTACATACATACGTATAAGCACACGAAGTCGCTCTCACTTCCTCTCTCCATTCTAGCAAACACACACACACACATACGTACATACATACATACATATGCACACACAGCTTCGTCTTGGTCGGTCCGCGTACGCAGACAGCACGGCCGTGCACAACACACTCAAGACAACTTATAATAATCATGAACAACGCATAACGCTCGTCGCTCAGCACTCGCTCCGGGCACACGCTTCTACACACTTCTACACTGTCAGTTATTGCGGCACCCGCATTCGCAGATAAATCGTTTCCTGTTGTACATCGCAAGCTCCACCAGCTACGGACATACAGACAGCTCAAACGACGTGATTCCAGGCATTCAGACATCGCCGGACTACGCCCGCACGCCAACCGTCTCTCGCTGCTTCTCGGCCTTCACCTCCGCCGTCGCCGTCGCCTGCGGCTGCACCAGCACCGAAGCACCGTTGGCACCGTCTCCGGGTCCCGGTTGCACCTGCACCTGAGGCTGCGGCTGCCCAGAGCCCGATGACGGCGGGGGCCCTTGGCCGCGGATGACGGCCACCTGCGCGACGATCTCTCTGCGCCGCTCCTCAGTAACCGGGGACGGGGGCGGTACTGGCTTGGGCATGGGCTGCAGCCCCACCCGCCAGCGGTGCTTGTCTGTTCGGGAGATTGAGGGGTTGGGGGCATTTGGGGGGGGGGGCGTGATGAAGCGTCCGCGTGGATGATGGGAAGTAGGGCGCAGGAGCTGGCAGGAGGCAGGTGACGCACTGGAGGGAACGCAACACATGGCTAGACTTTCTTTCGTACAAGAGCTAGAAGCTAAAGCTAGAGCTAGCGCTAGGGCGAGAGCGTACATAGAAGCAACGATGCAAAGCCAGCAGCAGCAACAACAGCAGTAGCAGCAGTAGCAGTAGCAGTAGCAGCAGCAGCAGCAGCAGCAGCAGCCGGAAACCCTCTCGAGATTTTCCTTCTCCCTACCCACTGCATGTCCTTCCCGACCTCACAAGTAACCCCAAACCTGACTGTACGTCCCAACTGCCAGGCACCTACCTAAGGCCAGTTTGAGGAAGAGCCGCACGTAGTCCTGACGACCCATGGGTCTCTTTCCCTTGCTCTCCGCCGCCTCGTTACGGCGTAGCTCGAACGTCTGTACGTCCGAAGCCAACGAGAGCCGCCCGAAAGGCACGGAAGGAAGGCGGTGGTGAAAGTGACATAGGACGAGGACGAGGAGGAGGGGCGAAAATCGTGAGACTGGTTGATGCGCGGCAGCAAGACAAGACAAGACAAGACAAGAGGGGAAATAAGGAGAGCTGATGGGAGCGCCCGTGGCTGTGTTGGGTTGATCTGGGCTGGGTTGTCTTGCCTTGGCCTTCCCTACCGTACTGCCCTGTACCGGTCTTGCAGCTTAAGACACGCCCCACCTGCTCCCCATCCCACGGCCCAGTTCCTTTTCGCAGCGACCCCTCAGGTGTCCTTCCTCCTCCTCCTCCTCCTCTTCTCCTCCTCCTCCTCCTCCTCCTGTACTTGGGACTTCCCCCTAAGAATTATGATGCCGCGAGGTATATGAACAGGACCCCGGAGGTTCCCCGATCGAGCCCCGTTCCCACCTTGCCAGTTGCCTCCGGCATGCTGACCGCCATGACCAGACATTCGGCAACCTCCTCGCGACTGATCTGCCCCACAATCTCATCACCCTGGTCCGCTTGGAGCAGGTAGGGGCCGCCCTCGAAGCTGTCGATCATGCCTGAGGGGCAGGAACACGGGAAGGGGCAGAGGCGGGAAAAAAGGAAGCGATGTCGCCCTTACCGGCACAGAGAGCGACCAACAGCGATCGAAAAGCACAGGCACCCAGTTGGACTGCGGTCCCAGTTGGACTGCTCTTCCTAGCCCCCAAGACGACCGCCCAAATAGAGACAACTCATCGCAAGACCCCCCTTAAGTATGGCAGCCCCGATTTACCTGTGGACCGCACCACTGAATACGGATAGCCGGACGATCGTACGGCGATTTCGGCGGTGTACTTGTGGTTTAATGTACCGTTGGGGTTTAGCTGTACAATCGGAATGTCGGCGGCGCGCTTCACCTCGTCATCACCAATGATGGCGTTACGTTCTACCCCCGCCGAGGAGATCTGTGCCGTACGGCAGGTGTACGGAGCAGGTCGGGGGCGGTGTTGGCTAAGCGCGTGGAGAGCGGGCGGGCAGGACCCAGGACGAGGTTGTGAGAACTGGGAGAAAACCTAACGTTTGACGATAGGGGACAGAAACCGCCCGCCGGAAGACGAGGACCACGCTTACTCAAACACCAGTTCAAAGCGAATAACAAGTGTACACCAGGGCATGGACATGGGCAGGGAACTGGAAAGGAGGGCTGACTGGTTCATGTTCGAAGATGTCCACTTGTGCGGGTGCAAAAGGTTGGCAGAGGAGTACGGTTTTAGTGGGAGTTGAACCCGGGAATGATTGAGAACAAAGAGAACAAAAACAGAGCAAAATAGTGGAACACCGAAGGACAAGCTGAAGAGCTGACTTTCCAGCCTAAGGTAAATCATAGACTTAGGGGACCAGTCCAGCCCATGCACCCACCATGACCAGCTGGGGCCGTACATCGTTGTACGCGTGGATGCCTCCCTCTATGAGCAACTCGAAGGGCCCCGGCTTGTAGTCGGGGTTGGGCATCTTGTTGTATTCGAACCGGCTCAACACCAGACCCAACTTTGAGATGCGAGAGGGATCAAGCGGGGCACCTGTACGACAACAAAACATACACACACACACACACACAAAAGCGCACCTCGAGGTCAACACAACTGTCGAGACATCGCATCACTTCACGCCAAGATATAGCACAAAAAATACCTCATTCAAGGCACATTGAAAATCACCGTCGAAACAAACTTTTTAATTGGCCTTTTATCAGCCTGCTGCTTCATCCCCCTTCCGGTGGTTTCACGACACCTATCCTGGCTGGCACTGCACTGCTACACATCCATGGCTTCACCCTTTTCCATTCCCCTACCATGCACACAGCACCTTCACACCGCACTCCATCACAGGGCGTCACCGCCCTGATTCCGTCATGTCGCATCTCCCTCTTCATCTCCCGCTTCCCCAGCGCCCTCTCCCTCTCCCTCTCGCTCTCCTCTCACCTTCCGGATCTGATTGCGCCCTCTTGACGGGTACGAAGTTGTGCCAGGGTATGTACACGTCCGCCCACTGGCCGCTCACCGTGTCGAAGGTAGCTTGGTAGGTGGACTCGGGTACATCTTCCTGGTCGATCTGTGGTAATTTTAATAGGTTGGGGGATGTGTTTAAGTAATAGATATTAACAGATTAACAGATCAAATCAAACGTAGATGGGAAAAATAACTTCAAATCTTTCCCAAAACAGTTATAATCCCAAAACATTATAACGTTATTTAATCGCCCTAACCGCCCGCCGAACAGGTTCTTCCACCCCCCGTTGCAAAGGTCGATTTCCGGGCTGCCTAATATCATCAGCTCGCGCCTCACCGTCTTGATGTTGAGTTTGAACGTTTGACCATCTCCCAGCAACCGCAGATGCACTCCGTCATACCCCGCCAGGTCCAGGCCCAGCTTGTTGCTGCGAGCGCCACAGAAGCCGCCACCCTGCGGTGGCCATGGTGGCGCTGGTTAGTGGGTACGTACTTTGGCCGGAGGTGCCGAGAACGATTCGATTCTTGATTAGTTTGATTAGTTGGATCGGACTATCGTTGAATCGGACTAGAATTCATGTTTAGGTTTGATTGCTGATTTTATTCTATTTAATAAACAAATAATAAAACTCAATGAGAACACACCTACTTAATTGTATGTAAACAAAAACTACTGTCACATCGCAGGGCCCCGTTACATTCTACAAGAGCACAACAAAGTCCCCCGGAGTAACCGCCTTCTCACCCTGCCTGCCTACCTGCCTTCCCGCTTACAAAAACAAGATTTTGTGTGTCACCCACCTCCACCACCAGATTGCCTCGCCACACCGCCCCAGCCACACCCGCGCCCTCCGGCGCAGGCTGCAGACCACTGTCACTTGAGCCGCCCATGATGACGTCGTCTAACCGGTTCCAAACCGCCAACTCCTCTGCCGTACGCATGGGCAGCACCTGCCATTCGACAGGCCGATTCGACACAGAGAAAAGCAGGCATTGATTGATGCTCACGACGATCATGATGATGATGATGGTTGGTACGCTGGTGAAGAGGTGATGAGAGTTGGTGTCGCTGTTGGTGGTGCTGATGTGGTGAAGTAGTAATATTGTAGTATTTCGGTGGCTAAGTCCCGATCCGATGTTTAGGCCGCGTGAACGGCGAACTGTACCAACATTTTCCCTTTAGGGTATCGAAGAAATCCCTCTTCGCTTGGCCGCCGCCTCCTAACTCACCAGTTGGCTGCTGCGGGTGGCCTTCTTGGGCAGTACCTCCCGAAGTACGGAGACAAGAGAGGAGATGCCTGCAGGGAGGGTGTGCGTGTGTGTATGTGTGTGCGCGTGGTTTGGCGAATGAAAGGAGGGGTCGTTTAGGGGATCGCATGTTTTCCAAGCGAATTCGCTGTTGCGAGTTATGAACCGATACATACCACATCAGGGTGCAGAATCGGATTGTAATTTCGATTCATGTAATAATTCGTTTATCATTAAACCCTCTGTCCCACACATCAGCAAGGCCTGTGCGGCCCAAGGTCACGACGCCCTCGCGCGGCTCTGGCCCCCCGCCCTTCTCCCACCCTCCACCATCCCATCCACCACGCCACAAACACAGCAGGGAAGACACACGCACCCTCCGCCTCCACTCGCTCGCTGGTCATGCCGTCCAGCACCCCGAAGCCTCCCTCCGGCAGCGGCCCGAATACGGTGCCGACCGTCAGCACCACCTGCTGCACGCCCTCCCACAGCTCGGACCGCCTGAGGGATTCCGGGTTTGTGATGTCCACCTAACCAGTGTGCGAACGTTGATACCGGGGGGGGAAACGTGGGAAGGCAGGGGGAAGGCAGGGGGAAGGCAAGGAGGGAAGGCAAGTTGGAAAGGTGCCACGGGAGGCGAAAGAATGGGAGGCTTCAAGTGAAAGGTACACATAACACGAACCAAGCTAAAGGCGCCCGCAAGCTTAAGGTGGGTCCAGACGCTCATACCTCGACCCAACCAAGGTCCGGGCACCAGACACATAAACACACACACACACACACACACTCACGCACAGATACGCCTTATTATGTAAATAACACCAGCACATCCAGTATACGACCATATCCCACACGCACATCCATACCCGCACGCACCTGCTCCAGGAACAATATCCCCGGGCGACCCCCTTCCTGGAAGCCCGCGCTGAGACCCATGCGACCCTCGCCAGTGCCCAGCAGCACATCACGGGCCTTATCCAGACTCCGACAGCCCGCTACCACGGTGCGACCCATCGCCAGCAGCTGTGAGTGGGGAGCAGTTGTAGAGTCAGAGTGGCCAGAATTAGAGAACTGGGTAAGAAAAGTAGTGGCGAGCGGATGTGAGTTAGGGCGGGTGGGCGGTATGGGTACCTCAGGAATTTAAACGCGATTGGCCGGTCACGCCAGGATCCAGATCTGGACTGTCAGGTCATCCCCAAAAGTTCAACCCAGGTCAGCGAAAAGGTAAGGGTTCGTTGAAGCGTGATGTGAACGTGGGCTGTTCATGGGAACGAGGATGTACGTGTGAGCAGAAATTGCTTTTTCGCGGGCGGACGGCGAGAGGGGGGCAAACAAAGTATGTAGGCTGCGACGGCTGCGCATCCATCCTGTACACCGGTGCATGCGGCCTTGCCCCAGACGGGCCATGGCTCCTTATTCACCAGGCCAGATCCGTGCCCCTTCACGTCATGGTCTCGTGTCCGAGTCGGCAGAGCCTCCCCTCCCCTCTTTCCTTATTTTATCTCTCCCTCTCCTCGAGTCTCTTTCCCTCTTCCCTACCTACCTACCTCTGATCACCAACTGGGAAACTGCAAGGAGTGCTGCTAAGAGAAACGTCGTGCAAAGGAAACCGTTGAGACGCACCTTCGCAACAACGCGACGTCCAAGGCGTCCCGTGGCACCCATTACGAGTACAGCGTTCTCGCGGGGCGGCGGGGGCGGCGGTGGTGGCGCCATCTCGGCGGCATTGGCAGCCTCCGACAGCGCCACGCCGTCGCCTGCCGCTCCGGGCTGCTGCTGCATTTGAAATGCGATAGTGCCGACAAGTCCGGCTGCATGAGGGAAGTCCAAAGGCGGTGGTAGGCTGCGGCTGTGCTCAAACAGTTTCTAATGCTTGCGTCGTTCGACCAACCCGACGAGGTAGTCCGAATGAACGTTATGTAACCCCAGATGAATTTGGAAAATAAATAGTACCGAAATAATATTCTCACCTAGGACGACGCCACCGGCTGCCAGCGCCTCAATGGGAATCTGGTCAAGAGCGAGCGATGCCGCACAAGCGACCTGAGGGCGACGATGATTGCAAGGCAGACTGATAGAAACCACCTTTCCAGTTGCACGGCTCGCCGCAGCAAAAGCCGTGCGCGAGACGCTGCTCCTGTTCGCTATGGCTTGCATTGGATTCAACTTATGTACTCAAAGTCAGCTATAATATATATTAAATAAGCAAGCCTCAATTCAGATTTAAAATTTCTTCGGAAGGTTCGAGTGCCTATGCTTGCGTTCTTCCCAGCCAACCAACCCCGGCGTTGCCTGCCACACAACGCCTGCTTGCCGTACGGTACTGCAGACCCACGGGCCCGGCACCCAACTACTAGATAGACAGACAAGACCCCGCGCAACGGTAAACAACTTGCTTTTCGGCTCCGCTTCGACAAAATGGACAAACAATGGTCAGCTCAACATGCACTAGTGTACAGCTTGCTGCACACCCTTCACGCGCTAGCATGCGAGTCCGTCAGCTCTCGGCTGCATTGTGAGCTGTCGACATGTACCCTGTCACGGAGAATACGCATCCCCGTGTACCGCATTTCCACATAGGCGCCCTCCTCGCTAAGGTGCTTCGTCCCCGGGTCAATCATGATCATGCGCGCCCTTGGACGCCACGCGACAGCGGTACGTGGGGAGCCCTAACCGATGCCGTGGTCCGCGCGACACCGAGGCGCGCTGTAACGATGGCGAACCAAACCGTCCTAGGGCCTTAGGGGAGGACTTCCTGCACTGCCTTCTTACTTCCTCCGTCACGATCACCGACGGAGGTAGGACCCCCGGCGGGGGAGAACATGCACCGGCGCCCGCCCCCGGCAAGTCACAGCACTGTAGTGTACGGCTGTCGGACGCTCTTACCAAGTTTCGACTCAGGTTTCAACACATTTTATTGTATTGTGTTCCTCCTTCCTGTGCATAGCGAGGACCCGTCTAGACGAGAGCACCGGGCGTCAGTCGTGGAATGGGTTTTACAGCTATGAACCCCACGGGGATCACAGCGAGGGAGCCCGGGGGGGGAAGGCAAACTGCACGGTACCAATATAATCATATATATATACATATATATATAGATAGATAGATAGGAGGAAAACATCACACTCGCTTTCGCGTGCCCGAAAACCAATCACATCACTCAGGTGTCCACCGCGTAAATGTAAACTATCTACCTGACGAAATTTCATTCTCCTAAAGGTTTGAGCGCAACTCCCAACTACGGGAAAACACTAGTGTTGCTGCCAGACGTTATTTGGCCCGCTGACCTCGCTTTATCCTTTTCTTATCTTATTATGGCCTTGCCTTCCCCCGTAGAGAGAGGGAGAGCCGTTCGAAGTTGCGTGCTGAGTCAAACGGACTGAAAGTCGATTTCGATTCCGTGTCGTAGTGGTACCCGCACCCTCGTGCGTTACAAGAAACAAGCACATTTACACAAATACATCTCCTAAGGCACAAAACCAACACTGTGAGTGTGCCATTATTGCACTATCATAGTGCAAAGAAGAACACATATTTTTCACGTGGACCGACAATGAAAGGAATGCTCCCTCCTCTTTAACTTCAACTTCCCCCCTGCTCCATCTACAAATCAGAAACGTAACAGACGTGGGTTTGGTTTCTGCGGGAAGCCTGATGTCATGACGTACATGACGTACATGCGTCCGAGGATGTGGACGCCCTCGAGTGCGCACGAGCACACATGCACGCGCGCGCGAGAGAGAAAGACACACTCATACAGACAGACAGACAAACAGAAAGACAGACAAACAGAAAGACGGACAAACAGAAAGACAGACAGGGACATACATACATACAGACAGACAGACAGACAGACAAACAGGCACGCGCACACACAACACAAACTGCAGACAGGGCTGCAAGAGCCAGTGTGTGTGCGGGCTACATCCAACATTAAGCGTTTCAGTAATAACAACGAAACATCCACAACAGCAGCAGCAACATGAACAACAAGACAGGAAACGGAAGAACAACCAACAAACGCCAACGGTAGCAATCATCATCGAAATATTACACACATCACCTTCCCCCGGCATCCTCTTTTCCACCACCACCACGGAATGAACCCCCCAAAATCCCCAATTCCTCCTCCTCCTCCTCTAGTACTCAAACCCCCCCAACCCGCACCCCGCACCCCCCCCCATAAGGGGCACCACGCAAAGTGACGCCACACACACATCCACACACATCCACACCCCAACCCCCGCCAAAACAGCACCCGCACTACTTCACACAACACCCAACAACACCGAACACGCCTTCAATCACGTTGCCTCGCGTGAGGGGGCACCGGTACACCATACATAACACACACACATACATACACACGCACATACATACTTCGGTACACGCCAAGCCATGGTCTTTAGCAACGTAAATGCATGGATGCCCTGGGAATATGTACGGCTTGCTGGCAAACACACTTCCAGGTGACACGATACGCGCCGTGTCATCGCGATGATGCACACACAGGGACACGCACACACACACACGCACGCACATACACATGCGCACAGAGGATACGCACACACGCACACACACCCGGGAATTACTTTTGCCGCATTCCGATGTTCGTATGTGTGCAGTCGATGTTCTCTTCCGCCAAACAAGGAAATGAATGCACAATACGCGCTATGTGCGAATCCCCTGCGCACCTTTCCTCCCCCCCCCCATCGTCCCGCTCTTGTCAAGGACAAAACACACACGCACACGCCAGAACAGAAAGCTTGCTCGTTGAACAACCTCCTCCTCCGGACTCCTCCCCCCTGCGGATTTATTCCATCTCCCGCCCTAACAACAATGCAAACAGTTGCAGCAGTTTTACAAAGCGCAAGAGCTCCGGCCGCACAAAATGCGGGGCGCCCTCCGTAGCAGCCTAATGATAAGGCTTAATAATACATATAATAGCAGCAACACAGTCCCGGATATTACATTTATCCATCCTCACGACCACCACCACCACCGCTACCAGGAGCAGCAGCAGCAGCTGCACCACCACCACCACCACCACAAGAACAAGAACCACAACAACCGCAACCACAACCACAAGGCCTTTCAGAGAGGCAAGACACAGATTCGCTTTCCGGCCCCCCCCCACGTCGCTCCTCCTGCACACATCCGCTACACACCGCTGGCCCGGCACCCACCGCCGCTGCCCCGGCCCCTGTCGGGCCCCCACCTCCCCCCAACCCTCTACTCTTGTAGTACCGCAACCACAACCACAACCGCAACCACCACCCAACCATCCCGCACTTTCAATCTCTTCACGTATGCCATGTACGACACTTCTGCGCAATATATGCACCGCTCGAATTATGTCTTATATCCGTTATGCCATCCTTCCTTAATATTACGTATTAAATTGTAGTAGTAGTAGTAGTAGAAGTAGTAGTAGTAGAAGTAGTAGTAGTAATAGTAGTAGTAGTAGTAGTAATAGTGGTAAAGGTAGTAGTAGTGATAGTAGTGGTAGTAGCTGAGTAGGATTTTTCCTTCTAATGGCACAAGTCAACAACAGCAACAAAAGCTGCATTGTACTACGATTGAACCGATTCAGCAGCAGAAACTGCCATCCACCAGCCAGCATCCAGAGCAACAACAACAACAACAGGGCCGACTCCTTCTTGAGAGGCGAGTTGCCAATCCCATCAGGAATATGAGAGGAGCGGACCGGACTAGAGCGTGTACACACACACAGGGCCCAGCAGCAGCCGACCGGTGGTGCGTTCTGAGTGTGCGTGTGCGTGTGCGTGTGTATGCGTGTCGGATGAGGATAGCTGTTCAACTCAACTTCTTCCCTTCCCCCCCGGCCCCCCCCAAATCCCCTCAGCCTCATGCAGGGGCGGCGAGTAACGGCTCCGGTGCCCACGGCGCCAACTGCTGAGCGGAGTGGCCCCCGTGCGGGTGCACCTGAGTCTGTATGTGCGTCTGTGGCTGTATGTGTGTCTGTGGCTGTGTCTGCATGGCGACGTAGTTAGGTGGGTGGGTGGGCGGGCCCACAGAGGTAGCGGGAGCAGCGGCGGCACATCCACCTCCACTGACGTACTTGCCGTACATGACCTCCAGCGCCGCCAGCACTTCCCCTGTGGTGGGTCGGGAGGTGGGCTCCGGACTCCAGCACTGGACTGCCAGAGCCCAGTAGTCCTAGGGGGGGTTGTGCGTGTGTGCGTGTGTGTGTGTGTGTGTGTGTGTGTGAGAGGAAGGGAAGGAGGGACAGGGAGGGAGGGACAGGGAGGAAGGGGGGATGGGAAAGACGAACCACAAACGAGTGAAGCTGCTGCCAGGGCAGGGGAAGGGGGGATGGGGAGGAAAGGGGGAGAGGGAGGTTGGTTGGAGAGTTTAGAGTGTCGAGGCGCCCCGACGAGGCGTTCTGACCCCTACTAGGCGATAGACCTCCCGGCATGGGAACACCGACGTAGTCCCCGTCCCGAGGCAAGTAACGTACGGCAGTCTTCAACCTCGAGGTATCCGCATAAGACGGCTGTCAGCCTCTGACTACGAGGCAAGGCTGATTGCCTGTACGGGTTTTAAAGCCCCCCTGTGGGACTCCCTCTTCATCGTCATCACTTCTCTCAAGATCGATGGTGTTGTAGCCGTTGGTCCTACAGTCGCTGAGACTAGGGATCTCCAACAGGTTATGAATGGGAGGTGCGTACAGCAGTACGGCAGCCTTTTCGATACCTCTTTTTGCCTATGCCACCTATGCCTCATATTACAACAGGAAGGGCGAACAACATACTCAACACACACACACACACACACATGACGCACGATACATGACGCCATGCCATCTCCTCCCTCCCCCCCATAGGTCGCGGGAAATCCTGCCATTCCCGCATTCCCCTTTTAACCCTACATTCTACACCGTACACTTTACATCATACTGCCCTTCCCTACCCCCACATTTCCCTTTCCCGCCCCCCCCCGCATACACACATACACACATACATACATGCATACACACACCTGCGGTACTCCCGGTGGAAAGCAGGGTCTCAATCCCTCGTGCACCACGCGGGCCAGGAGGGCCCGATGGCGGTCCTCCCTCTTGGAGATGTGCGACAGCAGGGTCCGGTACGGCTGCTGCCCGGTGTACAGCTCCCACATCAAAATCCCGAACGCGTACATGTCCGAGGCCGCCGATACCTGGCGGTACATTACGGACTCGGGCGCCACGTGGGTTACCGTACCGCCCAGGTCACCGACCACCAGCCCGTCTGCGGAGCGGAGCTCACTCAAACCGAAGTCCGCCAACTGGAATGGGAATTGGGTTTTTTTGGGAATGAGAAGATAATTCCCCGAGGAGGCGAGAATGGAGGGGGGGGAGCCGAGAGGGGGGGATCGGGGGAGGGGGGAGTGGATGTCACAGGTTGGAAGCGGCAGAGTGGAGAGCGCGGGAAAAGGAGGCGGGCAAAAGGGGGCCGTGAGGTGCGATGAAAAAATTGGCGCGGGAGACAAAGAGATATTTATTAAATCTGTAATTGGTAGGGGAAATTGGGGAAGTGAAGCAACCTACATACACACATGCGCCCTACACAAGCACTCACGCACTCACTCACGCACACACCTTGGCGGTGAAGCCCCTCCTGTTGTTGGCCTCCTTGAGGAGCACGTTTTCCGGTTTGAGGTCGCAGTGCACGAAGCCCTACCGGTGGGGCGATAACAGCGGGTCGGGGGGGGAGAGGGGAAGGGGGCAGATGGGGGCAGATGGGGGCAGATGGGCATGGCAGTGGGGACAAGGCAAGGCGAGGGCGAGGATGGGGAGTCGCAGCAAGGTAAGGCGCTAAGGAGAAGGGGGCTGTGCGGCGGCGGCATCGGCGGCGGAGGTGGAGCAGTACTTAAGGCTGGGGAAAGGAAAAGCCGAAGAGCAAAGGGCGAGAGGGTGTGTGCGTGGGTCCTTGTGTGTGAATGTCTGTCACCCCACAAGGTTATGGGATACGATGTCCCTGGAGGCAACAGCTCCCACCCCGTCCTTTTCCCCCCCCCCCC